GCACATGCATAATTTCTTTTCGCGTGTTCTCTGAAGAGCTGCGAGGGTGTTGCCGCTCACCAAATATGAATGTTCTTCGTCGTTTCCCCCCTCCGCCCTTGCTTCCTCCGCCCTTGCTTCCGCCGCCCTTGCTTCCCCCGCCCTTGCTGTCTTTGCTTCCACCGCCCCTTGCCCCTTCCTGCCTCCTCCTCCCTGCCCCAATGAGTCCTGTTTGGTGCACCTGGGCGCTCTTCGTTTCTCATGGTAATTTGCGAATTGTGGTCCGAAGGTTCATATCTCGTCTTTCGTTGTTCCGCGGGTAGATAAAATCTAGGTGGCAACCAGGGCAGTATTTGCGAATTGTGATGTGTATGGCGCAATATTATCAACGCGCGCTTTCCTCGCACTCGCCCTCGCTAGTGATGATGACGATGATGGTACTGATGGTAAAGATGATGATGATGGTGATGATGATGATGCTGACGATGATGGTGATGACGATGATGGTGATGACGATGATGATGAGCATAATGAGGGTGACGATAGCGATGATGAAGGCACGGAGTCTCTTGGGGCCATTCTGGGGCTCTCTTGGGGTTCTCTTGGCGCCCCCTGGGGGCCCTCTTGGGGATCTTTTCGGGCCATCTTGGGGCTTTTGGGGCATTCGGGGGGGGGTCTGAGAGGTTTCTTTGGGACATCTTGGGCCGCGTGGCTCAAAAGGAGGGGGGGTCCTCAATTCAGATTGTTCTCTTGGAGGCTCGAAAAGGGCGTCTTGGGGCTCCTTGGGTCGCCCTTGGAGCGCTCCTGGGCGCTTTTGGGGATCTCTTGGGGCTCTCTTGGGCTCTTCTTGGGACTCTCTCTTGGGACGTCTTGGGGCCATTCTTGAGGCTTCCGAAGCTTTTCGGGGGCGACGAAGCGACAACATGCGCAAACATTGATTTCCCTTAAGTTTTGGGAGCTATTTTGGCTTCTTTGGGGGGTTCTTGGATGACTCGGCGGGCAGCCGGGCACTTGGAGGCAATTTTGGATGTCATTTTGGCGCCTTAAGGCTCTCTTGGGGTAATCTCGGGCCATTTTGGGCGCTCTAACTTCTCGCGGGGCGCTCTTCCCAGGCCCGGGCCATCTTGGCTCTTTCCGGGCGTTCCCGAAGCTCGGAATTTGTTTATGCGCGGCCTGCGGCGGCCGCTTGGGCTTGGGCGGGCCCTCCCGAGCGGGGCCCGCCAGCGGCGCAGGGCGTGCATAGGGAAATTCGGCCACCCCTTACGCTTCGCGAATCTTGGAGGAGGAGGGCCAGGAGGAGGGCCAGGAGGAGGGCCAGGAGGAGGAGGAGGAGGAGGAGGAGGAGGCGGAGGCGGAGGGGAAGCCGGAGGCGGAGGGGGAGGAGGGGAGGAGGGAGGAGGAGGAGGAGGAGGAGGGAGGATGAGGATGGGAGGATGAGGAGGAGGAGGAGGAGGAGGAGGAGGGAGGAGGAGGAGGAGGCGGGAGGAGGAGAGGAGAGGAGGAGGAGGAGGAGGAGAGAGGAGGAAGAGGAGGAGGAGGAGGAGGAGGAGGAGGATGGGGTTCTAGTTTCGGGGGTGCTGGCGGTGCGGATGCAGGGGCGTCTCGTTTCCAGGTAGAGTCTTCTGGTTCTGGGAATGGCGGTTTTCGGGGAGTGGTCTTTTTCTTGCCGAGGTTGGGCTGCTGATTTCCAGGGTAGGGTCAGTCGTTTCCGAGTTTCCGCTTTCTGGTGCACGGTCTCAGATTTTTGGGGTTGCGACGCCGACCTCCGCATCCACCCGCCCACCAGCCAGCGCGCCCCTCCGCCCCGACTTCATTATTTCGGCACGCCCCCCCCTGCATCCCCCCACTTACCAGCCAGCGCGCCCCCTCCGCACCGCGACCCTTTATTTCGGCACGGCCCCCACTCCTCCCCGTGCGCCCCCCGTGCACCCTCCGCATCCCCCCGCCCGCCAGCCAGCGCGCCCCTCCGCCCCGACCCCTTTATTACGCCTCCCCCCCACCCACCCACTCACAAGCCAGCGCGCCCCTCCGCCCCGACCATTTTTATTTCGACACGGCATGCCCCCCCCCGCGTCCCCCCCCCACCACCAGCGCGCGCCCCTCCGTCCCGACCCCCTTCATTTCGGCACGCCCCCCCCCCCGCGCCCGCTCCGCCCCGACGCCTTCATTTCGGCACGGCGCACCCCTCCGCCCCGACCCCTTCATTTCGGCACGGCGCACCCCGTCCGCATCCTCCCCCACCCATCAGCCAGCGCGCCCTCCGGCCCGACACCTTTATTTCAGCACGGCACCCCTCTCTGCCCCGACTTCTTAATTTCGGCACGGCACGCGCCCCCCTCCGCATCCCCCCCCCCGCCCGCCAGCCAGCGCGCCCCTCCGCCTCGACCCTCTTATTTCGGCACGGCACGCCCCTCCGCCCAGACCATTGTATTTCGGCACGGCACACCCCCTCCGCATCCCCCCGCCCACCAGCCAGCGCGCCCCTCCGCCCCGATCCTTTTATTTCGGCACGGCCTCCCCCTGCATCCCCCCCACGGACCAGCCAGCGCGCCCCCTCCGCTCCCGATCGCCAGCTCGGCACACCCCCTCCGCATCCCCCCCACCCACCAGCCATATTCGGCACGGCACACCCCTCTCCGTCCCCGACCACTTTTTTTTCGGCACGGCATACTCCGCCCCTCCCCGCGCGCCCCACGCGCCTGCCTCCGCACCCCCCGCCACTCCGCCCCGTCCCCTTTATTACGCCCCCCCCCCACACTCACCCACCCATTCACAAGCCAGTGCGCCCCTCCGCCCCGACCCCTTTTACTTCGGCACGGCACTTCCCTCCGACCCTCCCCCTTCCTCTTTGTGCAACAGTCATGGCACACGCCCGCTGGGAGATAACCGTTTGACGATCCTGACGTGCCAAAGCACCATTCTTGAGGTTCCAATGCCACGGATCAACTTGACTGTTGCGTCTTGACGGTCCTGAATCTTGCCAGAACACCATTCCTGTGACTTCAACAACGCGAATCAACGTAGTTGTCGCGCCTTGACAAGCCTGAATCATTCTAAAACAATTCTGGTACTAGCCATGGGATCTGTGAGACTCTTGCAAATGTTTAGGGCGAATGTGCGCGGCGCAGAGGCGAGCGCCACATTTTGAAACGGAACCGCCCTCAATCCGTGAAGTTCATGCAAATTTGTATGACGAGTGTGCGCGGCGCTCAGGCGAGAACGACATTTTGGAAGCGGCCCGCCCTCTACCTGTGAAACTGTGCCAATTTTCAGGCTCCATGACCACACATGGTAAAGAACTTCAGGCGAAACGCCCGGGCCGCCCTTCCGACTGATCTCGGGGTGTGACCACGGGGAGTTTTTCCAGACGGAAAATAAACGGAGAATGCTGCTGCTGCTGCTGAGGAGGAGGAGGAGGAGGATGAGGAGGAGGCGGAGGAGGAGGAGGAGGAGGAGGAGGAGGAGGAGGAGGAGGAGGAGGAGGAAAGGAGGAGGCTCGGGCAAGTGGTGGCGGAAGTGGCATGTGCGTCGTGGCGCCACCCGCCCCTGCCCGAGCCGTATCCCCCTGGCCAGCTAGCACGAAGCCGGCTCGGGGAGGAACTGATCGGGCGGAATTGCTCAGGGCCGCCCCTTGAGAACCGACGGGCCCGCCATGGCCGCGGTCGGAGCTGGAGGAGGAGGAGGAGGAGGAGGAGGAGGAGGAGGAGGAGGAGGAGCAGGAGGATGTCCGCGCAGGAGGGCAAGGGATCAAGGAGGGGAGGGGGAGGGGGCGAGGGATGTGGCCAGAGGGGGGAGGAGGGAAAGGATGGGGGAGGATGGACCATCGAGGGACTCAGGTGCGTCCGCGGTTCGGTCGGATCGGCTGCGTCGACCTCGATTGCGTTCGGTCGGTTCGGTCTGGTCGGTTTGCTGCGCCACTTCTGCGCAGCTGCGGCCTTGTAGACCGCTTTCTGTCCGTCGGTTTCCGTCGGTTTCCGTTTTGCTGTCGGGTCGGTCGGTTTTCGGCTGCGTTGTCGCCGTGGTCGGCCTTGTTTTTCGAAAGGGGGCAAGAGGGCTGGGGGCGCTTGAACAGGAAGCATGGGTCAAGCTGATCGAGGATGGATCCTTCGAGATAAGAACATGCTGGACATATTGAGCCATCTCGGTGCCATCTTGAAGCGGTCCTGCGGCAGTCTAGGGGCACTACCCCGGTTCAGCGATCGGCCGTATCGCGCAGTGCTACGACGCGGATGAAGCGCTGCCCGTCTGCAGACTGCTGCTGTCTTCGCCAAGGAGATTGGCAGGGACTGGGGAAGGGAGGGAGGGAGGGAGGGAGGGAGGATTGACAGAAGGAGGGAGGGAGGGAGGATGGGACCCTGGGACCCTCACGGATCGATCCAGCTTGGAGAATGCTGCAGAATGATTGGGTTTGGGGCTTCTCCCCAGGGTTCCAGGGCTCCTGCCTGGGGAGAGGGTGGGGAGTGGGAGGGAAGTGATAGAGGAGGGGACGATGGGAGGGAAGGGAGTGATGAAAGAGAGGGATGCTCGAAACAGCCAGCCTGTCCCCTTCCTGGCGGCGCGGCTGCACTGTGGGTTGGGAGCAGGTGCATCAGATACTGTACAACGTGGCAGGCTGGTGCCAGTCGCCTCCACCCCCGGCTTTCCTTCCCTTGTCGAGGGCTTCTCCCTGCCCCAGGTTCTGCCTGTCGCTTTCTTCTCCTTCTGCTTCTCAGCTGAATCTCATGCCCGCCTCCGCCTCTGCCTCCTCTGCCGCTGCGACTGCGCGCTTCTCTTCTTTAAATGCTCGTTTTGGCAACCTTCCTGCCCACCTCACAGATCTGCCAGTTTGACTCAAGTTCGAATCTAGTTCGACTCAAGTTCGACTCAAGTCGACGGACGCTCGACGTAGCATCGACGCATCAGTGGAGCGAGCGGCTCCAGGAAGGTCCTCAGAACGAGCATCTAACTTTCCTTCCCCCTCCGCCCTCGAGCCCACACGCGCCCCGCTCGCGGTCCGACCCCCTGCCTGCGGCGCGCGGGAGGACCGGAGTACGACCTGATCCACCGGAACTGCCTAGACTTTGCAAACGAATTCGCCCAGGCCCCCGGGGGCCTCGGGCCGGGTCTCCTACACTCCCTGCCCCTTGCGGTCTGCCCTCCCCCTCTCCCAGGGCGGGCTTTTTCCCCCGGGCCATTTTTTTTGTTCGAGGGTCCCGATTGCCAAAAGACGGTCTCCAGAGGCCGAAGGCTTCCAAAAACAGGCTGTGGCGAGACCTTTTTGACGTCGCTCAGGTCTGCGGCAAGGTGGCCGCGTCGCTGTGCTTTCGGGCCCTCGTTGAATGGGGACGTCGTGCCCTAGTTCCTTCGTCGCCGATGTTCAGCCGGCGTGCGAAGGGGGGTGAGGCGAGGGGGGCGGCCTTCTAGGAAGGCGGGGAGCTCTTCTCAGCGAAGGCAGGAGGCTTCCTAGAAGCCCTCCCAGCCTCCAGGAAGCCTACGCAGAAGCCTCCTCTCCCTTCCGCAAGTCTCGTCGCAATGAACACAACGCCGCCGGGTGGCTTCTGGCGATGCGTCATCGATGAGCAGCCCCTTTATTATAATGGAGAGGCCTACCCTTTTGGGTACTCTTTCTTGCGCGGTCCCTTCAAGGTTGACGGGCGCGCTGGGCTCTTGTCTGAATGCCTCCCCGCCCGCGCACCGCGACGGGCTGGCTTCAACTTTAGGGGGGCGGGGGCAAGCTCCCCGCGGCGCGACGTCAACGTTGCCTGGTTAGGTCATTGTGCCGAGATCTGTAGGAAGGCCCCTGCCGTCTGAGACCGGGCGGGGCCAGGACCAGAATACATCGTTCCAAAGCGCTCTGGAGCGCTGTCAGAGCACTCCGAACTCTGGAACAGTGGCGGCGCCCGATGTATCTTCCAGAGCCGCCAGATCTCAGAGATCCTCGATCTGTCCCGGTCCGATTTTGTCTCGGCCCTGGCCTCGTCTTATCAGAAGCCCCCCGTCTTCTTCCCTCTCGCGCCACCCCCTTGCGCGCGCCGCCAAGAGGTGCACGCTTTCTGTCGCACGGTGGCTGCAGGATTTTTTGTGTTCGATCATGGAACCCTTGCTTCAGGAGCAACGAACGACGCCGACGAGACGGCGGCGAGTAGGGTCGGGAAGTCAAAATCGAGCCCCCGACGTCTCCTGGCCAGAATCCTGAGGGGAACCCAGCCGTGGCCACGAGGAGCCTCGCGGAAGCCCCAAAGCGGTGAGACACTGCCGAAGCCCTCGATCGATTTTCAAAGCCGTCGACGACGAGCGGTGGCGACACCCTCCGCCGCGCTTTTTCAAGGGCTGGCTTCCCTGCCCGTTGACGGCCCCGGGGCTTCGAGGGCCCCCAGAGGCCGAAAGCAGCGAAAACTGCCCGTCGCGTTTTTGTCGTGACGCGAGGGTGTCTGGGGACGACGAGCGGCGACGACGAGCGGCGGCGGCGAGCGGCGGCGCGGCCCGAGGCGCTGCGAACGACGAGCGGCGACGGTGGCGGCGACGACGAGCGACGGCGGCGACGACGAGCAGCGACGACGGGCGGCGGCGACGGCCGGCGGCGGCGAGCGGCGCGTCCCGAGGCGCTCGGCGTCGGGCGCATCCCGGGCTGGATCGACCGCTTCGGCCGTACGGCCCGGAGCGCGGACAGGCACTCCTGGGGGGGGCACTCTGGCGCGTGGTGGCGGGCCGTGGCTCTGAGCCTTCCAGGTGTGGTCCGAGCAGACGGGGTCGGAGGATCGCGCCGCATCGCCGATGCATCGGCGATGCGGCTCGATGTGGAGCCCGATGTACTTCACGCCGACCGGCCGACGGCGCCGATGCGTCGCCGATGTCGCCGACGTGTCGTTGATGTATCGCTGATGCATCGGCGATGCGGCGCGTTCCTCCGACCCCATCTGCTCGGACCCCATCCGGGAGGCCTCTAGGGTGGGAGCGAGGAGCCCTGAGATCCTGGCGTCGCATTTTTTTTCACGACGGGCTATTGTGCTTCGTTTCTTGCCGCGGGACCCTCACAGATCGATCCGGTTCGAAAGATGCCTCAGAAAGATTGGGTCCAGGGCTTTGGTGGAGTTTTTCTGCGATGTTGCACTTGCTTCGTGACGTCGGACCTTGAGGAGGGAGGAAGGGAGGGAGGGAGGGAGGAGTGTTGTCGCGCCCTTGTTGTTGCCTGTTCTATCATCTTTGCTCTCGCAGCACGCTGTTTTTGGGTAGCACTTGTCACATGTTGCAGGCGTACAGCATCAGGGGCAGCTTCATGAAGCTCTGTCCGTCACGCGAAACGAAACAAGGAGTGTTGGCGGCGCCCAAAAGGGGGTGGCGCGAGGGGGGCGGCCTTCGAAGCGGGTGGAGGGGCTTCGAAGAGGACCTCTCAGAAGCTTCTGGGGCCTTTGAGAAGGCCGCTGCCCTTTGAGAAGCCCACCCGCGCGCCACCCCTTGTGGGCGCCGCCAGGAGTGAGGAAGTTGAGCGAGGAGGGAGGGAGGGGTCCTGACATCCTCTCGTCGTAGAAAAATCACGACGGAGGGTTTTTGTCCAATTCGCCTTTGGGGTCCTCGCCGGGACCCAGGGCCATCAAAAACGATTCGGGATGAAAAGCCGGTCCGAGGAAAGGTGTCCAGACCCATGGGGTGTAATTTTGTGAACACTCGCGACGGCGGATGTCTGGGGAGGAGTGGGTAAGGGGGAGCGAGGAGGGAGGATGAGAATAAGGACCAGAGTAAACCCAAGATGCGTCAGCGATGCTGCAATGCACCCTCCCGTCCCTAGCCCTCTCCTCGCAAGTAAATGCCTGCAGGCCGTCTTTGCTACTGCAAGAAAGAAACACGTGGGCCTGCCAGTCAGGCGAGAGCCCCAGTTTGAAATGGAACTGCTTTGCATCCCAGCGCCTAATCAGGAATACGATAATGTATTATTCTACAGTCTAGCGGGGTGCGCAGTGCTATCTCTGCTCTTAAGAATGTCCGCCCCCCATCCGTCTAACTGTTGCATGCGTCGATTTACACTTCGGCCATGACTGTCGAGGAAGTCCCAAGCGAAAGCCTGATTGTGAAAGGGGACCGCCCTCCATCCCTGCAGCTGCTACATCTGTTCAAGTTTCTGGCTTTGAATCTTCAGGTGTCGCAAGCGAGAGAGCCATTTCGAAACGGGCTTTCAGCAGTAAAAGACGAATGCGGGCGGCGCTAAGAAGAGAGTCCCAACTTAAAAACCTTTTCAAGTCCATCCCGGTAACGGTTACAAGCTTTTAGGATGCCTGTACGCGGCGGTAAGGTGAGAGCCACATGTTTGAGAAGAGCTGCCCTCCATCCGTGTAACTGTTACACGCTTTCATGACGACTGTGCGCGGCGCTCAGGAGAGTGCCCCATTTAGAGAACCGCTCGCCCTGCATCTCTGTAGCCTTTGTATGGTATTGCAGCGAATGTGCGCGGCGCTGGAGCGAGAGCCCCCATTTTCAAAACCCTCCGCCCCCCATCAGTACAAATACTGCGAAAGTTGAAGCTTCAGGATCATACCCGGCGAGGAAGTCTCAGGCCAAACGCCCAGCCCGCCTCACCGACACGTCTGGGGGTGAGGCAGGAATGAGTTATCTATAAGGCAACCCTCTCGTTCCAAGTCCCCTCCCCGTAAATCCCTACAAGCCTCGTTTCCTACCGCACGAATCGCCCGTTTGAAACATCATCACCTTATGGGCCTGCCATTCAGGCGAGAGCCCCGTTTTGAAGTGGAATTGGCTTGCAACCTTCTAGCGCCTAGACAGGAATGCAAGACGGTATGATTATACAGTCCAGTGGGGTGTGCAGTGATATCGAAGACGCCTACGGCGAATCGCCGCCGCCCCCTGCCTTATGGAATCGCCCATGTGGCCGTGCGTTGTGGCAAGAGCTCTGCCAAGCAATCTGACCATGTGTCCCCCCAGCCGTCGTGCAAGATCAGGAGGAGGAGGAGGAGGAGGAGGAGGAGGAGGAGGAACAGGAGGAGGAGGGGGCATCTTGGGAACCTCTGGGGGCACTCTTGGGGCCTCCTTGGAGTTTTCGTGGGAGCCTCTTGGAGGCATCTTGGGGGCCTCCTTGGGTCTCTTGGGGGCCTTTTGGGGGCTTCTCGAGGGTTTCTTTGGCCGTCTTAGGGCATTGCCGTCGGACGCCGTCTTGGGGGTCTCGCTGGGCCGACTTGGGCCCTCTTGGGGTGCTCCAGGGCCGTCTTGGATGCCATCTTGGGCGTCTTGGAGGCCTCTTGGGCCGTCTTGGGGGCCTCTTGGGCCGTTCTGGGGCCATCTTGGAGGCCTCTTGGGCGATCTTGGAGCGATCTTTGGGGGCTCTTGGGCCGTCTCGGGCCGTCGGAAGGCCGACACGACGCAAATGCCAACATCTTTCAAACACCTACGGGAAATCATTGGTTTTGGCATTAGCGGGCCTTCCTGGAGGCCGTCTTGGAGGCCTCTTGGGCCGTCTTGGAGACCTCTTGGGGGCCTCTTGGGCTGCCTGGGGCCATCTTGGAGCCATCTTGGGCAGTCTTGGTGGGCTCCTGGCCCGTATGACGCCGTCGGGAGCCGTTTTTGGGAACCTTTCTGGGCCGACTTGGGGCCCCCTTGGGGTGCTCCAGGGCCGTCTTGGAGGCCATCTTGGGCGTCTTGGAGGCCTCTTGGGCTGTATTCCCTCTTGGGGCAGTCTTGGGGGTCCCTTGGGCCGTTCTGGGGCCATCGTGGATGCCTCTTGGGCGATCTTGGGGCGATTTTTGGAGGCTCTTGGGCCGTCTCGGGCCGTCGGAAGGCCGAAAAGAAGGACATGCCAACATCTTTCAATAACCTACGGACAATCAATGTTTTTTGGCCTCGGCGGGCCTTCCTGGAGGCCGTCTTGGAGGCCTCTTGGGCCGTCTTGGATACCTCTTGGGGGCCTCTTGGGCTGTCTGGGGCCATCTTGGAGCCATCTTGCGCTGTCTTGGTGGGTTCTTGGCCCGTCTGACGCCGTCGGGAGCTGTCTTGGGGGCCTCTCTGGGCCGACTTGGGGCCCCCTTGGGGTGCTCCAGGGCCGTCTTGGAGGCCATCTTGGGCGTCTTGGAGGCCTCTTGGGCCGTCTTGGCCGAAAAGGAGCAATTACCACAATTTTTCAAAACACACAGGAACACCGATGGTTTTGGCCTCTTCGGGCCCTCCTGGAGGACGTCTTGGGGGCGTCTCGGGGGCCTCTTGGGCCGTCTTGGGCCATGTTGGAGGCTTCTTGGGCGGACTCGGAGGCATCTTGGTGCCGTTTTGGTAGCTTCTTCGGCGGACTCGGAGGCAATTTGGACCATCTTGGACCATCCTGGAGGCCATCCTGGGCCAACGTGGCCATCTTAGAAGCCATCTTGAGCCGTCTTGGAGATTCTTTTGTGCACGTTGAGGTCGTTTATGCGGCCTCCCGGGTGGCCAGCGGGACGGGCCGAAGCCCCGGAGGGAGCTCTTTTGGAAAAAGAACCCAAACCAAACATTATAGGGTTCAGCACGCCGGGCACCCCTGTGACAAGACCACAAGGGGCGGCGGATCGAAGACGCCTACGGCGAATCACCGCCGCCCCCTGCCTTTGTGGAAGCGCCTATGTGGCCGAACGTTGAGGCCAGACCTGCCAAGCCATCGGACCATGTGTTCCCCGAATCGGTTTGGAAAGCCTTCGGGGAACACGTGGGCATCTTGAAGGTCATCTTGGCCGTCTTGGAGGCCTCTTGGGCAAGCTTTCGGCGATCTTTGGGGGCTCTTGGGCCGTCTCGGGCCGTAGGAAGGCCGAAAAGAAGGAAATGTCAGAATCCGTCAGAAACCTCAGAAAAATCAATGTTTTTGGCCTCTTCTGGCCTTCCTGGAGGCCCTCTTGGGGGCCTCTTGGGCCGTCTTGGGCCAGCTTCGAGCCAACTTCGGCCATCTTGGTGGGTTCCTGGCACGTCTGACGCCGTCGGAAGCCGTTGGGGGGGCCTCTATGGGCCGACTTGGGGCCCTCTTGGAATGCTCCAGGGCCTTCTTGGAGGCCGTCTTGGGCGTCTTTGAGGCCATCTTGGGCGTGTTGGAGGCCTCTTGGGGCCCTCTTGGGGCCCTCTTGGGGCCATCTTGGAGGCCACTTGGGCCGTCATGGGGCCCTCTTGGGGGCCTCTTGGGCGATCTTGGGGGCTTCTTGGGCCGTCTTGAGCCGTCGGAAAGCCGAAAAGGCGCAAATGCCAACATTCTTCAAAAACCTAAGGAACACCAATGATTTTGGCCTCGTCGTGCCCTCCTGGAGGACCTCTTGGAGGCCTCTTGGGCCGTCTGGGAGGCCTCTGGGGGGCCTCTTGGGCCGTCTTGGCCGTCTTGGACTCTCTTGGGCCGTCTTGGAGGCCGTCTTGGATCATCTTGGGCGGACTTGGAGGCTATCTTGGGCCATCTTCGCGATTTTTTGAGGACGTCCAGAGCGAAACGGCTGTTTTTGGAGCCGTCTTGGGCAGGACATTGGGGAATTCTGCGCCTTCCGATTGGCCGGCGGGACGGGCCGGAAGAACCAAAACCAAAACCGAGAGGATTCGGCACGCCAGGCATCCCTGCGATGAATCGACAGGGGGCGGCGGATGACGGAAAGCGCGCGTTAGCGTGCGGTCCGTTAGTCGGAAGAAATTGGACTTGGGGGAGTTCGAGGGGGGTGGCATCGCCAGGCCCGGATGACGGAAAGAGTGAGGTACGAGCGAGTGACGTTGAGTAGGGGGCGAAGCCCTTCTAGGGGGGGGTCCAGGGGGGGGCCCGGGGGGGGTGCGAGGCGCAGACGCCTGGTCTAATAGCCCGTTTCCCTCGTATTTTTTCGAGTGAAGCGGCTCCCGGGCGGGTGACGGAAAGCGCGCGTTAGCGTGCGGTCCGTTAGTCGGAAGAAATTGGACTTGGGGGAGTTCGAGGGGGGTGGCATCGCCAGACCCGGATGACGGAAAGCGCGCGTTAGCGTGCGGTCCGTTAGTCGGAAGAAATTTGACTTGGGGGAGTTCGAGGGGGTTGGCATCACCGGACCCGGATCTAATTGCCCTCCCGCCTCGTTTTTTATCGAGTAGGACGGTCTTAGGCGCCTAAGACAGCCCAGGAAGCGGCCAAGACGGCGCCCAAGACGGCCCAAGACGGCCCAAGAAGTGCCCAAGACGGCCCAAGAGCGCTCCAAGAGAGCCCAAGACCGCCCAAGGCGGCCCCAAGACGTCCCAAGAGGCCTCCACGACGCCCCAGGAGGCGCCCACGAGGCGTCCCAAGAGGGCCCCACGAGGCCAAATCATTGATTTTCTGAAGGAAAACGTGCATTTCTAGCATATACGGCTTTTCGCCTTTCATGGCGTTGAAGACGGTCCAAGAGGCCCCCAAGACCGCCCCAAGACGGCCCAAGATGTTCCCAAGAGGCCCCAAAATAGCCCAAGAGGGCGCCAAGACGGGCCAAGAGGCGCCCAAGACTGTCCAAGAGGCCCCCAAGAGCGCCCCAAGAAGGCCCAAGAGGCCCCCAAGAGGGCCCAAAAACGGCCCAAGAGGGCGCCAAGACGGCCCAAGAGGCGCCAAGACGGCCCAAGACGGCCCCAGGACGGCCCCAAGAAGGCCCCAAGAGGCCCCCAAGAGAGCCCAAAGACGGCCAACATTGCCCTCCCGCCTCGTTTTTTATCGAGTAGGACGGCCTTCGGGGCTTAAAAACAGCGTTTCGCTCGAGACATCATCGGAGAACGCTTCTTGGGCGCTTCTTGGGCCGTCTTAGGCGCCTAAGACAGCCCAGGAAGCGGCCAAGACGGCGCCCAAGACGGCGCCCAAGACGGCCAAAGACTGCCCAAGAAGCGCCCAAGACGGCCCAAGAGCGCTCCAAGAGAGCCCAAGACCGCCCAAGGCGGCCCCAAGACGTCCCAAGAGGCCTCCACGACGCCCCAGGAGGCGCCCACGAGGCGTCCCAAGAGGGCCCCAAGAGGCCAAAATCATTGATTTTCTGAAGGAAAACGTGCATTTCTAGCATATACGGCTTTTCGCCTTTCATGGCGTTGAAGACGGTCCAAGAGGCCCCCAAGACCGCCCCAAGACGGCCCAAGATGTTCCCAAGAGGCCCCCCAAATAGCCCAAGAGGGCGCCAAAACGGGCCAAGAGGCATCCAAGACTGTCCAAGACGCACCCAAGAGCGCCCCAAGAAGGCCCAAGAGGCCCCCAAGAGGGCCCAAAACCGGCCCAAGAGGGCGCCAAGACGGCCCAAGAGGCGCCAAGACTGCCCAAGACGGCCCCAGGACGGCCCCAAGAAGGCCCCAAGAGGCCCCCAAGAGAGCCCAAAGACGGCCAAAGGCAGCCTGGTCCCTTCACCCCCGCAGCCCAGAAGCTCCCAGGAGGCCCCCAGAGGCCCCCGAAAAGCCCCAAAAGGTCCCCAAGGGGCACCCAAGAGGCTCCCCAAGAGCTCCCCAAGAGGCCCAAAATACTCCCAAAGGCTCTTAGCACCGCGGCTCCCAAGAGCGAGCGGTGACGTAATCGAGCTGGTAAGACCAAAGCTCCCAACAGAGAGCTGCGGCGTAATAAGTTCTTGCAACCAGGGCACAGGGACGGGCGGCAACGCGTGGACAACGAGCGGTCCACGCAAGGACAACGCGGGGTTCTGGAAAGCTGGCAGCCCAAACGCGGACAACGCAACGCGACCCCCACGAGGCGTCCCAAGAGGGCCCCACGAGGCCAAAATCATTGATTTTCTTAAGGAAGACGTGCATTTCTAAATCGAGTTCTCGCGTGGGAGTTCCCCGCACTTTATTCAGACGCGGCGCCGTCGACACTCAGAAATCACGCTCTCGCTTTGTATTTCCTAGCGATTTACTTGGGAATCGCACTATCGCTCGAGACCTCTTCTGGATTCATGCAGGACTCACGTTTCAGCAACTCGCCTGCTCGATCTAGCCTCTTGGGCCCGCCTTCCGACCCGCCCGCTAGGGTTTGCCCGCCCGATCTTGTCTGGTTCTGCCACGTGTTTCTGCTCCTAGCCCCCGTCCAGCTAATTTCTCTTGTGCTCAATCCTTCTCCCTTCCCCTTTCATCCGTCCCCTCTTCCCCTGTCTTAGGGGCTGCACTGAATGTACGTGGCAGGTAAGGAAGATATACTCCCAAGGGGGTATGATCAAAGACGAAGAGGACGGGTACCGAGGGTTTGGGGCATACGTGTTGAATGGCACGCGATCAGATGAGAGCGAACGGTAGTAAAATTATTGTTGTTGTTGATGGTAGTGATGGTGATGATGATGATGATAATGCTGGTGGTGGTGATGGAGATACTACGATGATGCTGGTGCTGATGATCATGATTCTGATGGTGATGACGGTGGTGGTGGTGAACCGCTGATGATGTTGAGGTAGTAGATGATGCTGATGATTATTCTGATGATGATGACGAAGATGATGATGATGATGCCGATGATCCGCTGATGACGGTGGTGGTGGACATATGATGATGCTGATGATGATACTGCTGCTGCTGCTGCTGATGATGATGATGATGATGGTGCTGATGCAAACGCTGGTTCTGATTATGATGGTGATTCTGGTCCTGATGGTGGTAATGATTATGCATGTGATGATAGTGATGATGATGACGATGATGATGGTGATTGATGATGGTGATGAATGATTGAGAATCAATGGTGAGTGATGACTGGTGAATGGTCAGCGATGGTGATGAAGAGATGACGTTGATGCTGCTGACGAGGATGATGGTTCTGATGATGATGTTGAGGATGATCATGATGATTAATGATGATGGTTGATGCTGATGATGATGGTAATGATGGTGATGATGATGATGATGATGATGATGAGTGCTTGGGGATGAATGGCGATTGATGACTGGTGAATGGCCCAATCTGATGATATGATGATGAGAGGATGATGCTGCGGATGATGATGGTGGTGGTGGTGGTGATGATGATGATGATGACGATGCTGATGATGCTGATTATGATTCTCATGGTGATGGTGATGATGATGATGATGATGATGATGATGATGATGGTGATGATGATGATGATGATGATGATGATGATCCTGGTGCTGCCGCTGCTGCTGCTGATGATGATGATGATGATGATGATGACGATGATGATGATGATGATGATGATGATGATGATGATGATGATGATGATGATGATGATGATGATGATAAGGAGGAGGAGGAGGAGGAGGAAGAGGGGGAGGAGGAGGAGCAGGAGGAGGAGGATGAGGAGGGGAGGATGAGGATGAAGATGACGATGAAATGGATGAGCTTGAGGAGGAGTGAAGAAAGAGGAGAAAGAGAGAAGGGAAATGGAGAATGGGAAATGGTGCGTAGATTATCCAGCTAGCCGCAACGCGGCAGCGGCGACTGGCTAGTCGCCGCCCACGTTTCCGTCTCTGCCTCTCTAGACGAACTCCAGGATAGCCAGGGCCCAGGATGGTGGAGCTGTACAGGTGACTTCTGCGTAAGCCGACCTGAGCTTCCCAGGTCTCCGACGTCGTGTTTTTTTATAACGTGGACCCTCAGAGATGAACCTTTTTTTCCCGGGACCAGCGTTTCATCCCAAGTCGTTACTCGACGGCACCTGGGCGTGGCCAGGGCTCCCCAGAGCCCGAAATTGGGCAGAGACCCTCCGCCGTGATTTCTTGTCCGCCTAGAGGAGGCCTGGGTCTGCCTCCAGCCCCAGCGGCGAGCGGCGAGCGGCAAGCCGGTGCAAGCGGCGATCGGCGACGGCGGCGAGCAGCGCTCCTGAGATCCGGCATCAAATTGCAGCATAGTAAAAATCTCGTTTGGAGCCCTGGCCCCATCTTCCTGAGGCCTTTCTCGGGCGGGATCGATCTGTGAGGGCCCCAGGGCCCGAAACAGGGCAAGTTCGCCCGCTGCGGACACATTTTCTTCCCCAGGACGGACCTCAGGGGGCGATGGCGACGGGTGGCGCCCACGACGAGCGGCGAGCGGCGGCCGTCGCCCGGCGGGGTGCGCCTCGGTCGAGCAGGCTGTCGAAGCACGCGGTCGCGGGCGTGCAGAACACGAGGCAGCTGGCGAAGAATGCCGCCGCCCCAGCCGGGCGGGGATCGGCGGGCCTGCGGAGCCGCGGGAGTTCTGTGAATCATGTAAGACACGATGGGCGCGCAGAGAATGTAGAGAGTTTATCTCGTCTTTGCTATGTTCGCGTGTTGTGCATAGCGTTATACATGCAGCCATTTTGGAGCATGCTACGGTCGTAGCTAGGGGACTGTGAGTACAGTGCGTCGCCGTGACCGGTGAGCAAGAGAGTGCAGACATCACATCTGCACTGACATTGGTAAAAGAGGTGAGGCCGCTGCTGGGACCCAGGCTAGTGGCCGCGCTGCCGCAGGGGTCTGCCCAGCGGCGCTTCGCCCTTCGACTTCCTCGGGAAGCTGGCCTCGGCATGGACGGAACCCCGCTCGAGCCGAAGTCGATTGCCACAGTGGACGGCCCCAACAACCTGATGGAGGCCTTCAGGAAGGAGTTGGGAACGCAAGTGGTGTCCGACATCGGCGAGAAGACAGACGCGTACTTCTACGCAGGCCTGGGTCAGAGTGCAATTGCACGGCGTCTGGGACAGAGCATGGCACAGTGGATCGAGACGGATGAGGAAACCTACGACCAACTACAGCGGGCATGCAAGCTGCTGGTGCCTGACGTTGGAGATATCTTGCCCAGTGCCGTGCGGGGCGTCATCCTCTGGCGCAACAGCAATTTGGACCCTTCGGAGAGAGCCGTGGTGAGCAGCACAATCACGGGAGACAGGAAGCTCGAGAATGTGAGGAGACGCCTGCGTGACGCGTGGGCTGAGAACGACCTGGCCGTGCGAGACAAGAAGACGAAGCAGAACAATCACCGCGCGGCCCACTACACGGATGAGGCCCACTTGCAGATCTACGACGAGCAGGGAACCGACCACGACTTGCCGCCGGACGAGTACGCGCAGGCAGACGAGGAGGACGTCGCGGCGCTGGAGGAGCACGAGGCCCTGGCCGCGCAGGAGGCGGATGCCGCGACCCGCACCTGGGAGCAGGCCAGGAAGCTGCTCAGCGACGTCTCCAGGGCCCGTGGCTACTACCCGGTCGTGGGCCTGGCCGCGTTGCCTCCGGCCCGGAATGGCGCAGGCAAGGGCGCGCGGGGGGGGCCCAAGGGCCGAGGCCGTGGCGACAAGGCTGCGCCGTCTCCCCCGAGAGCCCCAGCCGGCCAGGGGCGCGATCGACCTGGGCGACCACAGCAGGGCCGCGGCGCTGGCATGAAGTGCCTCTTCTGTCGGCAGCAGGGACACAAAGCTGTGAATTGCCCCTCCAGATACCAGAGTGGGGGCAGCGGCAACGGGAACATGAACATCGGCTACGAGGAGGCGGACGACGAGGCCGTGGACGAGGCCACCGTCTCCTGCGTGTTCTACTGGGGGAGCGACGACAAGTGGGTCCTGGCGACGTGGTCTGGTTACCATCCCACTCCGCTGGACCCCCAGGCCACAAAGAAAGTGGCGACAATTGCACAGTTCGCAGCCCCCGAGGGAGCCGCGAGGTCTCGACGGGGTCGTTTACCATCCCACTCCGCTGGACCCCTAGGAGGCCACGAAAGTGGCGACGGTTGCACAGCTCGCAGCCCCCCTAGGGAGCGGCGAGGTCTCGACGGGTCCATTTACCACCCCACTCCGCTGAGACCCCCAGGAGGCCACGACATCGACGACAATTGCACAGTTCGCAGCCCCCCAGGGAACCGCGAGGTCTCGACGGGGTCGTTTACCATCCCACTCCGCTGGACCCCTAGGAGGCCACGAAAGTGGCGACGGTTGCACAGCTCGCAGCCCCCCTAGGGAGCGGCGAGGTCTCGACGGGTCCATTTACCACCCCACTCCGCTGAGACCCCCAGGAGGCCACGACATTGACGACAATTGCACAGTTCGCAGCCTCCCAGGGAACCGCAAAGGTCTCGACGGGGTCTGGTTACCACTCCACTCCGCTGGACCCCCTGGGAGGCCACGAAAGCGGCGACAGTTGCACAGCTCGCAGGATTAGTAGGACGACGAGGACGAGGAGGAGGAGGAGGAGAAGGAGGAGGAGGGGGGAGGAGGGGCTACGAGGAGGGGGAAGGAGAGGACGGAGACCACAGTGTTCTATTTAAAACGAGAACCCAACACGGAGTGTTGGGAAAAACGAAATCCCAACACGGAGCGTTGGGAAGAAAAGGAAGGAGGAAGAGGCGGGAAGGAGTGGCGACCACAGTGCTCTATTCAAAACGAGAACCACCCCTCGCGGAGGGCTGTGAACAAAATATTAGTGCTGGACGCGGGCCTGCGTCCATTCAGACACCTACGGCGCCAGCAAGGGCGCCCTCAAGTGGGCCCGCGCCGATGTCAGCACATCCCTCACAAGGATCGTGCCCAGAAGAGAGCTTCATTTCTGGCACCTGTGAGGACGCCCGCGAGGCTTCCACATTACTCCTCTTCGCCATTTCCTCACAAAGTTACCTTCTTTCTCTCCCTTTCTCCTCCTCTGTTCCCCATACTCACCCCTCCACTGACCTGACCTCACTCCTCCACTTCCTCCAATCCTCATCCCCTCCAAATCTTGACGCCTCCCCCTTCCACCGTCACCCACCTCATCTTATCGACCCTCCTTCAGTTCATTACTTCCTCCTCTTCCTACTCCTTCGCCTCCTCCTCCTCCTTCGTCCTTATCCTCATCATCGTCCCTATCCGCATCCTCGCCCCCGTCGTTCTCATCCCTCCTTTCCTCCCCGTTCGCCTCCTACCTTCGTTGCCGGCCCATCCAAAGATTACGAACCAACGTTGGACACGCAAAGTGTCCAAAGTTGGTTCGGGGGGAACTGCTCTAAGCCCATAGCACCTACGGCACCAATGAGGGCGCACGCTCGCGGGCCCGCGTTCATTCCAGCACTCTTCTCACGCAGATCGCGCCCCACAAGGAGCTCCACTCGCAGCAACAGTCAGGGCGCCCACATGCGGTCCCGCGCCGATTTCGGCACACCCCTCATACGGATCATGCCCCACAAGGAGCTCCACCTACAGCACCTGTGAGGGGGGCGCCCGCATACCGGCCCGCGCACATTCCAGCACGGCGCCCGTACCAATTTTGGACAGTTTGAATGTCCAGAATTCTCTCAACCTCCGGGCCTCACAGGCTCGATCGCCATCGGGACAACGCTGAACCAATTTTGGACGGATCGATTGCCCACACATACTCCACAACTGCAAGCTTGGAAACGCAACCAAACAAAACGAACAAAGAAACGCGCGCCTGAATGACACTCAAACATGAGACGCACCTTAACCACACGTTTAAGATAAATGGTATGTACAAACACGGCACGGCAAACATAAAAACGATTGCCATGCCAAGAAAAGCAACGTTTAGGTTGGTCCAGGTCATTTCGCCACCGCAATCATGACAATGAGCACGTCGGAGGTGGGTCGCGGCGCGGGGTCTTGGCGCGCCGCGGGCGGATTTGCGCGGATGGGATGGGATGGGATTGTACGGCCTCCGAATCCATTCCTTTGCCCCTTTGCAAACAATATAGCCTCCTTGTTTGTCCTAGTAGCCTAGTATAGTTTTTTGTTATATATATATATTTCTTTTCATTATTTATTTTAACATATATATATATAACATATATATTTATATACACGACGGTTTAGTCGCGTGGCTTATTCACGATGGCTTATTCGTAATGGCTTCCTTCGTGTGGGTGACGGTGATGACGGTGATGGTGATGATGGTCTTTTTTATTATGATGATGAGTTGGTGATGCTGAATACTACTGGGGATGGTCGATGAGCGCGTTGCGTCGTCGAGTCGCGGGCGGGTTTGCGGCAGGCTGCGGGCTCCCTAAGGGCTGAACGTATACGTTCAGCTCTTATGACCGGGCGAGGGGCGCAGGAGGAGGGGGAGAAGGATAATGATGAGGAGGAGAAGGAGGAGGGGCGAGGGTCATGCGTTGCGGAGACGGTCGTCTAAGTTGGACCTTTCTCGCTCGCCTTGGATTTACTTACGAGCAGGCGGCTGACTTGGCAGTCGTGGCGGCGCATTCCAAGACGCGCTGGAAAACGCTCTTAGTGTGCGCATTGCAAAGACCACCTGCCCAGGGCATCTCGCACCGTCGCTGCTCAGGAGGAGGAGGAGGAGAAGGAGGAGGAGGAGGACAGGGACAAGGAGGAGGTGGAGGAGGAGAAAGAGAGAGAGAGAGAGAGAGAGAGAGAGAAAGAGAGGGAAGAGAGGAGAGAGAGAGAGAGAGAGAGAGAGAGAGAGAGAGATATATATATATATATAGAGAGAGAGAGAGAGAGAGAGAGAGAGAGAGAGAGAGAGAGAGAGAGAGAGAGAGAGAGAGAGAGAGAGAGAGAGAGCGGAGGGGAGGGGTGGCCGGAGGAGGATGTGGAGGAGGTCGGGGAGGAGCAGGCCTTCGCAACCCGCGTCTCGGGCTGCATGCTGGCGAATAACATCGAGGGAGAAGGCGAGGAGGGGGCGGAGAAAAAGGAAGAGGAGGGGGAGGAAGAGGAGGGGGCCTGTTTCGCGTGAGATATCCTCGGGAGACTGGACTTGAGACATCCGATGATATCCGTGCAGCCCTGGGATCCAGATGTTTTGACTTGAGGTGATCTGGAAACCTTCGCCTCAGACATCCTCGGAACTCTGGATTCCGAGATGCCCTGCCCAATAATGGTCCGGCCACTTTCGCCTGAGACATCCTCGCAACTCTGGGTTCCGAGACGCCCTGAGCTGAGTTGGTCAGACCATTTTCGCTTGAGACATTCTCACAACTCTGATCTCGGAGGTGCGCTGCCCCAGAGGGGGTCCGGCCACTTTCGCTTGAGACACCCTCGCAACTCTTGGTTCCGAGATGCCCTGAGCTGAGATGTTCAGGCACCTCTAGCTTGAGAGATCCTCGCAAGGCAGACCTCGGAGGTGCTCTGCCCCCTGGTTGTCCAGCCCCTTTCGCCTGAGACATCCTCGCAACTCTGGGTTCTGGGGTGCCCTGGGCTCTGGCGTGTTCAGGCCACTCTAGCCTGAGA